GCCTTAGCCACTTGAGCCACAGGCGCCAAGCCCCTGAAAACATTTTTGGAGTATGTGTGTGCCTCCTGAATTTGGGTACCTTTGGGTTTAGGCAGTAAATGCTTTTTGGTGGTGGTTTTGTTTTGAGACAGAGTGTCACCAAGTTGCCTTTGGTAAAGTACAGTGGCGTCACAGCTCAGAACAACCTCAAACTCTTGGGCTTAAGCGATTCTTTTGCCTCAGCCTCCCAAGTAGCTAGGACTACAGGTGCCCACCACAATGCCTGACTATTTTTTTCTTGCAGTTGTTTAGCTGGCCTGGGCCGGGTTCGAACCCGCCACCCTCAGTGTATGTGGCTGGTGCCGTAACCACTGTGCTATGGGCACTGAGCTTAGGCAGTAAATTCTTAAGATCAAATTATCCTGAGTTTAGGGAGATATACTTAGCAAGGCGGATCTTAGATTCAGAGGTTAGGATGACTTTGAGAGATCCATGAGCTTAAGGGTTTCAATGAGTTTGATGACGTAGTCTACTTTGTTTGGCATTCAAAAGAATTAGAAATTCTAAGTTCAGGAAATCTCTTACAGGTTTGTAAGCTTAAGGATCCTATTGAGTGAGGAGATCTAAAATTTTGGGAGTCTACTGAATATGTGCAGGGGTTACATGAAATTTAGGTAGTCTGTTGAATTTGAGGGGCTTTTCAACTTGGATGTTGGGGAAAGTTTGAGGGTCTTTTGTGGGCTGCTGTGTATGGGTATCTCTCTTGGGTTTGAGGGATGCTAATTCAAGTTTGTTGATGCTACTGAATTTTGTTTGTTTGTTTGTTTGTTTTTTTGATACAGGGTCTTATTCTGTCATCCAGGCTGAAGTGCAATGATCATAGCAGCTCACTGCAGCCTCAGACTCCTGGGCTCAAGTGACCTTTCTACCTCAAGTCCCCTGAGCAGCTGGGATTACAAGTGTACCACACAATGCCTGGCTAGTTTTTAAAAATTTTTTGTAGAGGCTCGGCACCTGTGGCTCAATCGGCTAAGGCGCCAGCCACATACCCCTAAGGTGGCTGGTTCGAATCCCCAGCCCGGGCCTGCCAAACAACAATGATGGCTGCAACCAAAAAAAATGGCCGGGCGTTTTGGCGGGCGCCTGTAGTCCCAGCTACTTGGGAGGCTGAGGCAGGAGATTCGCTTGAGCCCAGGAGTTGGAGGTTGCTGTG